ATCCCCACCCCATGTCTGTGACTTTTTAATGGAATTCAAAGAATATCACGTGTGGAATGGGGCTGGGATTTAGAGATTATCCAGTCCAACCACTGTATTAGCCCAAGAGATTATGTGAATTAGATAAAGTCATCCATCTAGTGGCAGAATAGAGAATATGACTCTGAGCCCTCAAATCCTATCCCAGGGCCCAGTCCTCCCCTCAATATGGGATCCAGAGCATACTAAACTTCTGAGCCTCCCCAGATTCTCTCTGGACCAGCTCTAAACACACATAATATGGGACAGGAAAGCAGACAGTTCTTAAAAAGCAACTCAGCCTGGGGCCTCTGATTAACAGTACTGTATGTGTACTTAAAATTTTGTAAGGAGGGTAGATTTTTTTCTTCTTTTTAATGAGAAAATAAAATTTCATAACCAAATAATAAGAGAATAACAATAGTTATTATACTATCTATCGTTATCTTCAAAATATTATAGTTAGGAAAAGACAGAAACCAAAAAGATTTTTACAAAAATGAAACAAATAGATGATAATACAAACTTTTGTTTCAATGAACTAAGATAAATTATTAGTATAAATGAAACAAATTAGCATATATATTGAAATATTTAAAAAGTGGAACATCTAATTTGGGAAATATTTGAATTTCTCCCTACTTTCTATTTATCTCTCTTGTAATTTTGCTCTTTATTTGTATATACAGTGTTTCTCACATTTGAGAAACCATGCGATATTTGAGCTCATGCGTCTGACTTATTTCACTTAACCTTATGTTCTCAAGTTGCATCCTTTTAGCTATGAATGCCTCAAGTTTATCTTTCTTTTGGAAGCATAGCACTCCATTGTACAGTGTTCTAAGAACAAAAACAACAAAGAGGGCAGGAGGAAGCTCTTGGAGGTGAGGGATGGGTTTATTTCATTGACTTTAGTAATGATAGTTTCTAGAGTAGATGGTTACATCCAAATTCATCAAGTTGTATACATTAAATACCTACAGCTTTTTGTATGTAAATCATCTCAATAAAATGGTTTAAAAGGTAAGGAACATCTCATAGAACTTTGCAGAGTGGAACCTGTGAGAGTAGGGATGATTGATTTTACTCATTGATATTCTTCTTTCCTTTAGAGGAGCCTTGGAAACTTTGGAAGCCAATGATCCTGTGTTTGTGTCTGAATCCTCCTTGAGGTCTGAAGGGCAGATGTTGCCCTGAGCCCAAGTTTCAGATAGAAAAACATGGGGAAGTGATTTCTCTGGAATCACTTCTGGCCCAGGAAGTCATTTCTCAAGACCCCTTATCACTTACCTGGACCAGCTAAGGCCTGCTGGTCAGGCTGCAGTTCTTATCAAGGGTAACAGAATGATGCATGAAGGAAGACACTCAAATATCAGGAAGGTCCGGTTTCAAGTCTGGACTCTGCCTTTCATGACTGAGTGACTTTGAGAAAATTCTATAACGTTTTTGTGTCTGTTTCCTAGAGTGCAAAATGGTCATCTCAAATGTGTGTAGGATTATATAGGTAAAGTATTATTATAGTAGAGGACGAATAGTGGGTCTTCAATAAACGGTAGCTTTAAATATAAGAGACACATCAAATCCTACATTCCTCACACCTGCACACCTTTCCCTTCACCCACGTAGAACAGATGCCCTCTGTGTCTCAAGTCACACCTCCTAGAATCATCTTTGACTTCACTGGTAGCTATGACAGACACTTTCATCCATTTCATCTCCCACCTCAAGTAGGTGCCCCTTCTTTTTGTTTTTCTGCTTTAAGGCTTTCTTCAAAGCACACACTGAATATAGAGAGTATTTTAAAGCCTCACGTTCAACCCTCAGTCGAATCAGAGTGAGACTCGATGGACAAGCGTCTCAGTCCAACTTTAGGATGGATAATTCACCAAGGCATCTTGTACAGAAGTCCTGGCAGACTCAGGTAATTTTGGTAATAGATCTGTATTGAATTTTCTCTTTCCCAATGTCACTCTTTCTGTTCCCTCACTTCTGTCTCCTAGAAGCCTGTCTTATTTACATTATTTCACCCAAGTCCTTGCCTGAGATTCTGCTTTGGCACTCTCAGTCCAAAACACTAAGCATTTCTTATGCAAGCCATTGCCTCTGCTTATGGGATTCTCATTTGTTCACCATTTTGCTAAAGATCACCAGCAAAAGACCGCCAGAGACATACCAGTAGTAAAAGAAAGCTAGTTTTATTAACTTGATGAAGCTAAGGAGAGCATATCAGAAGAATCATTAAGTATTTCAAAAGGAAGTATATTTATAGAATGGGGTCCTGGGGTTATCCAGAGAAAAGTTTCTGAGCAGATTCTTCAAGAGCCTTGTCTTTAAAAATTATGAGTCTTGTAAATTAGCAATTAGTCTGTCTTTGGTCTTGAAGCACATGATCTGAACAAACAAGTTTTACAAAGTTTTGAGCTTGGATAGTTTGTATGCCTGTCAAAAATTAGGCTGGCTAGTCAATATATTTTATGTCTTTCATTTTACAGTTTTTATGATTTTTCCTTCAATTTTCTGTTCTACCTTATAGGTTAGCTGCTTATAGGGATAATGTCTTCTTTTTTCAACTTTCAGGTTTCTATGAGTAAGGGCTCTTTAATAAGATGGATGGGTAGATATAGATAGATACAAGAGATGTAGAGAGAAAAAGACCTATGTTAAGAATTGGTTCCATGATTATAAAGGCTGGTGAATCCAAAATCTGCAGGCTAGGCTGGCAGGAGAGACATCCAAAGAAGGGTCAACATTGCGTTTTAAATTCTAAAGCTGTGATGGGTGCAGAATTCTCTTTTGGCAGAAAGAATAGTCTACTAATTCCTTCTACTGATTGGATGAGGGTCATATTATGGAAGGCAATGTGATTTATTCAAAGTCCACTGATTTAAATGGTAATGACATCCCAAAACACCTTAATGGAAACATCTAAAATGTTTGACTAAATATCTGCACATCATGGCCCAGGGAAGCTGATAGATAATATTAACCATCACAAGATTATATGATTTTGTCTTACTGATATGATCCTTATTTTATTATTCCACTCAGAAAGATCTTGCTGAACTATTATCTGGTAGTCACAGAAGGATCTGCAAAATGTACCTGAATTTTTTTTCAATTTCTGTATTTTTGGCTCAGAAATAAAGTCTAATGTGAGGTTATAGAAAGTGTGTGACTTATCCAAGTGTCAGGACACAGTGACAAGACCCTTGCTCTTCACTTTCTGTTGGCTCATTCTTAGGCTATATGACCGTATGTGAATACTCTTGGTGTCCTTCATGATGACATTTGAAGACTGTATACATTGCCACTAAAAACTGTGGTCCTGTTACCACCTTAGTAGATCTGCTATTAAAGCTTTGTTAATTTGGACTAAATATCACCCTTTTTAGAGCTACTTAAAAGAATAAACACGTGATATATTTTCTTTAGCCCAGTGTATGCAAATAAAATAATTTTAATATGTTTTTATATAAAATTTATAACAAAACATTTTACATTCTATTTTGGTAATTTTTTATTATTTACACAGCATAAACCTTTCCATTTAAAACATTAAGTATAGAGTTCATGGCAACAAGTGCATTCATATTGTTCATACAGTCATCACCACTACTCATTTCCAGAAGTTTCTCATCATCCCAAAGTGAAATTCTGTACCCACCCAAGCCCTGTAGTTCCAACAATTGTGCTCAGGTTTCTGCTACTCATTGGAGCTGCTGGGCAATTCAATAGAAACAGCCAACCTCAAAACAAGAGGCATGTGGCGTCTTTACAGATAGGCAAAGGGTTCCTGTTAGGCCCTTGCACTGAGAAAAAAGACTGAAAAATTTCTCACATCTCTAAATATTAGTTCATAGGATCCTATAAACACAAAACAGTAGTTACAACACTTAGTTATTTAAAAAATTTTTTTATCAGATACCTAAGTTAAAACTCAGATAATATTATATGCTGTACATTCAAAATATTTTACAGATACAAGACATAGTAAGATAAAGGAAGAGATGATATAGGAGATATGAAACAAAAAAGCAAAAATATTTTCCCTTAATCTGGGAAGAAGCATGTGCTAACACCATGAAAGATGGCTGTAAAACACAAAGAGTGAACCAATCTGGATTTGTTGCCCCCCAGGGTTATCTCTCAGGACAAACACAAAGGCATTATTTTAGCACACAGCAGAGAGAAAACAGAGGGCTTGTACAGGTGGAGGAAATAAATGGCAGATGTTAAACAGGAAGCAACGTGACATGGTAGTTAAGTGACTGTATTCAATTATCAAATTTAATTTCAAATCTTGGCACAGCACACATGAGTGATGTGACTTAATTACCTTGCTAATGTAAGCTTTATTTCTGTCACTTGTAATGAGGGTACCTATCCTGTAAAATATAAAAAATGGTTCCTATCCTGTAAAATCTCAAAGATCAATAAAAAGATGTAAAGCAGTTATCACGGTGCCTGGAACATTGTACGCACATAAGATACATCTACAAGCATTATTATTAAGGGTTTGGATAATTCAGGTAATGTGTAAAAACCTCACAGTGAGGACTGTGGTTTTCCTAAATTAGCAGTTTTATTTCCTCCAGTTTAAAATTTGTACTTGTCAGTTAAACAAAACATCCATGACAAAGCATTTAAAAAGTAGGAACAAAGCTAACACCATGGGTAATTTGAGCACACTTCTTCCAAGGCACAGGCTACTTTTCAAGTTAGTTTCAGTTGTATATCCTTATTGTTTTTGCTCAATGTTACATGAATGTTTCATTTTAAATCACAGTCTTTGACCAAATAATATGTAATACAGATTATTCCATATAATATTCCATGAAGAAGATCGATCATACTTTAGTTTGCTGTTTCAGCTGGAGAAAAGCACTGATGTGCTTACAGGCAACTGGAATTTAGCTTCTGTTATGGGACAATTATATGAAACCAATAAGGATGGGGAAGTGGAATAGTAAGGGTCACCCATGTCACACAGTTTGGATGTCCTTGTCACAGCTGATCTTGAACATAGCCAGCACCCGTGTTCTGATCTGTTTGGTCTTGGCACCATAGATGATGGGATTGATGACAGGAGGCAGCAGTAGGTAGACATCCCCCATGAGAACATGTACAATGGGATCAAGGCTGTTTCCGAAGCGGTGTACCACTGAGAGGCCAATGAGTGGCACATAGAAGGCCAGGACCACACTGATGTGTGACACACAGGTCCCAAAGGCCTTCGCTCGCTCGGACTTGGAAGGCAGTTGCAGAACTGTTCGTATAATCAGGAAATAGGACAAGGAGATGAACATGACATCCACACCCATGACCAGCAGAATGGCAGTAAGACCGTAGACTACATTGGGCAACGTGTCAGTGTAAGCCAACTTCATCACATCCTGGTGCACACAATAGGAGTGTGAGAGCACATTGGAGTGGCAGAAAGCCAACCGCTTGATGAGTAGTGGAAGTGGAAAAAAGAAGAGGGAGCCACGGACCACAGCTACAATGCAAATCTGGGCTGTCACTGTATTGTTGAGGACTGCGGCATGGCGCAGTGGGTGGCAGATGGCCACATAACGGTCAAAGGCCATGGCCAGCAGGACGGTGGATTCGATGGCTGAAAGAGCATGAATAAAAAACATCTGGGCAAGGCAGGCATCAAAAGTGATCTCTCGGGAGTCAAACCAGAAGAGGGCAAGGATCTTGGGCATGGTGGATGTGGATAAGGCCAGGTCAATGGCTGCCAGCATGCAGAGAAAGAGATACATAGGTGCATGCAGGCTGCGCTCCGTCTTGACGATGAAGACTACGATGCAGTTTCCAAACAGTGCCACAGCATACATTGACAGCAGGGGGAAGCCGAACCAGAAGTGGGCTTCCTCTAGGCCTGGGACACCAATAAGCACAAAGGTGGCATGTGTGAAGTTGCAGGAACTCATAGCTGGCACTGAGGAGGGGGGCTGAAGAGGGTGAGGTCACACTGGCAGCCTGCTAGGACACAGAGCACAATCAGAGAGTCCCCTGGACACCTGGGGGCCAGGTGTATCTTGGCTTCTCTTTTCCCCCATCCCACTTAAGCGCTTTCATAAGCTCTAAGGCTCTCTTTTCCAGAGGAGAGAATGTGATAGCCCAAACTGACTTATTACGCACTACTTTCAAGATCCATTTAAATTTTAAAGGGAATCTTCGGAAGAAAAAATGGTTATCTCAAAATGTAGCTTTCTTAAATTTTTTTAGACTTTTCCTTCTTACCCATATCTTGGTCATCTGGATACTAGGTACCCCCTTTTTTTAGAAAGGTACTTTTTGGGAATTTCTTTCAGATAAAACTGTCCTTTTTCCCTCTCTTCCTTCCTCCCATCTTCCCTTTCTTCTTTCTCTTTCACTTGGATTTTCCCTCCTTTCATTATATTTGTTCATTCATATTCATTCATATGACATGCTTTGCACAAGGCCAGATGCTAAATCCTATTGATGCAGAGATGAGAATAATTCTCCCTGCCCTTTACATGTGTTGTTTGGGATGAAAGATAGCCAAGTAACTAATATATTAGAGTTTGTGGTAAGTGCTAGCACAAGTTATCTGTTTAACGCATGGGAGGGAGAGAGGTATGATCTCCATGAGAGGAAGGTTCAGAGGAGCCTTCCTGAAAAAGATGATGCTTTTGTTCAGTCTTGAAATATGAATAGAAATTAGACAGAAAAAGGAGTAAAGGGTGTTCCAGGGCAGTGAGGATAGGAGATACTTTGCAACTTTTCAAGATTCTAGGTCTTCAGTTCTAATGTTAGCAAGGAGGAAAAGAACCACAACAGCGATAATAATAAAACCCCTGAAAATAAAACAAAAACTAGGAAAAAAGACACAAAGTAAATTTCTTAAGAAAAAAAAAAAGGACTCACATCTGGGTGCATAAAACCAGAGGCACTAGCTCCCTCTAATAACTTCTTCAGATATGAAGGTACTGGCAGTGGTTTGGCCTTCAGCAGATCCTACCTACCTGGCTTCTCCCCTGTGAAGTTTCTTTCTTCTGCTCCTGGCTGGTGGGGACCTCCAGTTTAAAAGTTGTCTCAAAGGCCAGTCCCATTGACCAAAAAAAAGATTTTGGGTTAAGTCCTGACTTTGGAAGATTATTACTGATTTTACAATGATATTCTAGGGCTTTTTTTTTTTTTGAACCTGTGCGCACAAATCACTCCTATCAAGGGAGACATTTTTTGGTAGACTAAAGTGCTTTGGCTCAATCCTCTACTGTATTCAAACTCTTGGACTCTGACCTCATCAAAATCTTTCTCTGCTAGATTCCTTAACTTTGCTGGTCATTAGACCACTATGTCCAGGAAATGGAGCCTAGGGTGAAGAAAAGGCAGGTATGGAGTGGTGTGGCATTCAGGAGAGAAGCGTAATGAAAGTTTCCATATTCAAGACCTTTTACTCATACTACTACAGGTAGTGCTGACAGATACAAGGGGCTCTGTTGGCCATGGAGTTAGGTACTTTCTTTCTTTTTTTTCCCATTAAGTTTACTGGTACATTTTAGGTATGCAATACAGTTATATTCATCATTGAGAGTTAGGTACTTTCTTAACCTCTCTCTCCAAGAGCATCTCTTCTGGTTTGCCATCTGCATTTTCTCACTGAAGTCCAAGACTTTTGGGCCATCATCTTGTCTCCAGGTGTCTCTATTCCATGAAATCTTATGTCTCCCTCCCACATTGTCTGGCTTCTTGCCTAAAGTGGCTCCTTGCTAAACACTTTAGCTTTTTTGTGGTTTTGGATGAAGCTGGTGCAGGTATTCTTACCTGCTTTTCCGGACTGTCAGTTAAGGCTCTGAGATATTTCTTCCAAGCCTGTGAAGGTATGAGTGGGACACAAGGATTTTCCTCTGGGTTCTCATCAAGCAGTTTGTGGGGTCTCTCAGGCCCTTTAGGATGGCAGAGGCCACAGGGTCCCAAGTTTCAGGTGAGGATGTGCTCACCTGAGAATGGTGCAATCTTCCTTCCTTAGCTGGACTGTTGTTACCTTTGTGTAACATGCCTTTTAGGGTTCTACTCAGAGGCCCATAGGAACAGGCAATGGGAATATGAGCTGAGGCTCCAAGGACTTGGAGGACAGAGGAATAACATCTCCATGTCCACCTGTGTGCCATTCCCAATGGCTTCCCGTTACCCTGTCTCAGGAAGCAATCTCACAGGGCCCTACTTCTGCTGTCACTCCTACATTGACACTCAGAGGTCTCTCCACAATGTGTCCCCACTCTTCCAAGCAAATTCAAGCTCCTGTGGTCAATCATGGATAATGTGTTTCCTCATTAGTGACTTTGCAAGACACAATAAGCAAAGTGTAGTCAGTTACGGTCCTTGGGTTCTAAGAATTTATGTCTTATTTTTCACTTGGTTTTATTTTATTTTATTTTATTTTATTTTATTTTATTTTATTTTATCAGTGCTAGGGATTTAATCCACAGCCTTTACACTGACCTACACCCACAGCCCATTTTATAAATTTAAAAATTTTTCAAATTGAGACAGGATCTTATTAAGTTGCCTAGGCTGGGCTTGAACTTGTGATCCTCCTTCCTCAAACTCCCAGAATGCCAGGACCTCAAAATTCAAATTAAGGACAAGCACTTCCCCAGCTTCTCTCTCAGAAAAAAACCAAACCAAACCAAAGAAAACCCCACAAAAAACCCTCAGACAGCTCCGGAGGCAGTGAAGTCACTCCTTATTCTACGTGTGTCTCAAATAAATGACAAGTAGGAAGGCTCTTTGTTCTAAGTTACATACTTAGTGATGTTTGTTGGAGAATTGGAAGAATTTGTTCATCCACATTCAACAGATATTTGTCAAAGGGCTACAATGTCATAATAAACAAAACAAAACCCCATATCTCACAGAGTATGCATTCTGGTGAGAGAGGCAGACAACACATGGAATTAATATGTAAATGTAAAATAATTTTAGATGATCATAGGAGAAAAAGTAAAGGGAACAGGGGAACAGGTAAATATCAGAGGGAAGGAGTTGAAACTTAGGATGAAGTTGCTGGGGAGCATCTCACAAAATGCAGGGGTCCGAGGAGAGGACCCAGGCAGTGAGGGATATAACCATGGAGATATCTAAGGAAGATCATTCTGGAAGGAAGGACTAGAAATTACAAATATAAGTTCTGAGGAAGGAGTATGCCTGGTGGTTTAGAACACCAAGAAAGCTTGTGTGCCCAAACCAGAAGAAGGGACAGTAGAAGAATCCAGAAAGATCCTGGCAACTAGGCCATATAGGGCCTTGTAGGACAGACAGGTCATCAATGGGCTTTCATTTAGGCTCTGAGTGAACTGAGAGTTTATCAGAGAGTTTTAAACAGAGTAGGGGTATGATGTGAAATAGAGTTACTCTAAATTCTATTGGATTTGTCTTCTTCAACTCCCTCATGGGGTTGTATGAACTGATGTGCTGCTGCCCATTTGGATCTTTTTTTGTTTCTTTTCCATGACTTCTTCATATTGAGTGTATTTAAGGTTTATACTGAAGCTCTACCTTCTCCAGAAATTATCTCCAGTTCCTGTAGACTCTCTGGTCTTTATCCTCCAGTGATATGTGCTCTTCCTCGTACTTCTCAGGGTTTTCATTATACTTCATTCAGAACTTTAGCCTGACCTGTCTTGAGCCCTCTGTAACTATGCCTTACATTAGTAAGGCATACCTTGCCATTGATCTCTGAAGACACCAAGAGAATTATTTTCTTATCAATCAACCACCAAGACTTTCTGATTAATCACCTATATCTGGCAGTGAAGTTCATTCGGCCATTCATTGTTTAATATGCATATCCACAATACTAGTTTTATGTGGGTACTCTGCCATGCTCAGGGGCTGCAGAGATGAAAAAGATGAAATACTTGTCCTCTAGGTGCTCACAGACACCTCCAGAATCTTAAAATAATATGAAAGTACAGAAAATATCACAGATATTTATGAAAACTTGAGAGGAGGCATTTAATTACTCAGGGGAGTATATACAAGAAGAGAGTATTTGGGGAGAAAGAAAATCATGGAGGAAAGAAACAGAATTATCTATGGTGTGTGTGTGTGTGTGTGTCTTAGCAGTGTGGTGTGAAGTACAAATACAACACAAAAATGGAGGAGAAATTGGAGAAGCAGATGGATGTGAGCTGATGATGGGCTGTTGGAATTGGGAGGAGAATAAGCTGTCCTCAAAAGTGAACATGTGTTTCAGGTTGCATTTCTAGAAGGTGTTGAGAGAGTGAATCAGAGGAAGATTAGATGTGCTTATGCATTTACTAGTGAAAGACAGAAACTTAAAATGCATATTTTTCCTCATTCCTCACATTTAAATTCTTCAATTTATTTTTCCTTCTAAAAATCTCTTGAATATTTCTTGGTTCCATTTTCACCCTTTCAGCCCCACACTATTAGAGTGATTTCCACAGTGGCCATATGATCTACTGCTCTGGCTTCTAAGAAAGTCCTAGACATGTAGTGAACCCATCCTCCTTGGTCAGATCATCACATTTGTTCTGCAACCCACTTATTCTCAGTATTCAAATGATCCACTTCTTAGTGGTGGAAGCTGACAAGTCCCCAGATTTGCTGGACTGGCCTGGGCCCCAGTAGGACTGGCCACAGATTAGTGAGTGGTGGGTGAAGTGAGGGAGGAAGAGCTGTAGAAGTGGGTGTCTGGTCTCGAGACAGAAGTTGCTTCACTCTCTCATGTTTAGGAATCTGCATATGTCCATCCTTCTGTAGCCCAAATTGCTCTTTCTCATTCTTTCCTCCCTCACTCCATACCCTACCTTATATAGTGTGTGGGAACAAAGAAACAAAAATCCAATATATAAGTGAGCTTTTCCATATTTCCATCTTGGACCTGCCTGTACTTTCCTTAGATTTTTGCTTTTGCTTGATTGTGAGTTAGGGGTGTATCAGGAGGATAATCCAGGTAAGGGAACAGAAAGGGGTGGA